TTAATGTTTTATTTATTTCTAGGAGAGAGAGAGAGACAGGGTGAGCAGGGGAGGGTCAGAGAGAGAGGGAGTCACAGACTCTGAAATAGGCTCCAGGCTCTGAGCTGTCAGCACAGAGCCCGACGCGGGGCTCGAACCCATGAACCGCGAGATCATGACCTAAGCGAAAGTCGGACACTTAACCGACTAAGCCACCCAGGCGCCCCTCACTTACTTTTAAAATAAGCTTTGATGGGTCAACTCGGGTGGCTCAGTGGTTAAGCGTCCAGCCTCAGCTCAGGTCATGATCTCATGGTTAGTGAGTTGGAGCCCCGCGTCCGGCTCTGTGCTGACAGCTTAGAGCCTGGAGCCTGCTTCCGATTCTGTGTCTCCCTGTTTTTTTGCCCCTCCCCTGCTTGCACTCTGTCTCTCTTAAGAAAAAAACAATAAACATTAAAAAGATAAAGTAAAATAAACTTTTTAATATAGGAAAGTTTTAGATTCACAGAAAAATTGCAAAGATAGTTTAGATTTTCTGTATACCCCACATACACACCACATATGTGTGTATTTTTTTAGCATATGCATTTAAGGCTCTCAGTTTCCCCCCTGCCAGGCATGACTTTAAGTTTATTTATTTCTTTTGAAGGGGAGGGGCACACACACACACACACACACACACACACACGAGTCTAAAGCAGGTTCCAGGCTGGGAACTGTCAGCACAGATCCGGACGCACTGGGCTCGAACCCTTGAGCCGTGAGATCATGACCTGAGCCGAAGTCGGACGCTTAACCGATGAGCCCCCAGGCGCCCCTGGAAATATATTTCTTAGTGATCAAAAACATATGCTTTTTTCTAGTTATTATTTTATTGTTTTATAGACCACTTTTCCCGTGACCCCATTTATGGATGATTTGAATACTCTGAAATATGTCGAAACTGACTTACGGCCCGCCACAGGCTGTTTCCTGAATGTTCCGAGTCCGTGCGCATGACGCGCCCTCGCGGTGCGCGTTCGCGGTGCGCACGCAGGACTCGCACTCAGGAGCAGGTGCGGGACGCGCGTTCGCGGTGCGCGTTCGCGGTGCGCGTTCGCGGTGCGCGTTCGCGGTGCGCGTTCGCGGTGCGCACGCAGAGCCCCAGGGACCCCCATCACGACGGATTTTTTCATCACCGTTGGGGAAACCGTAAAATACACCCGGGAAGGGAGCGAGCAGATGCCCCAAGACGGTATTACGGGGGTATGGCTGGAGCGGGTGCGGATGCTCAGGGGCAGCATCGGGGCAGGGGAGTTCGAGACCTAATTTTGAGACAGTGAGCAGGGAACAAACTCGAATTATTTAACAAAATATATCGATCGTTAGGAGTCAGCATGCTGACAGCAACAGCAACAGCAGCGGCAGAAGTACGCGAGCAGCAATACAAAACCACGGTCAGTACAACGCCGGGCCCAACAGCGACGCTGGCGGGCGGGGCCGAGGGCCGCCCCGGGTCCCCAGCTCCCCGGCCCCGGAGCATCCGCGGCTCCGGCTCGTCGCGCCGGCCTGCCCGGCCTCGGCGCTCGGCTCGGCGTGCCTGCGGCGCTGCCATGGAGACGCGGCCCCGCGGCCAGCTGGCCCCGCCCCCGCCTCCGCGCGCCCCGCCCGGGCGCCCGCGCGTCTCCGCGGCCCCGCCGCGCGGGTGACTGGGCGCGGGCCCGTGGTGGGGGCGGGTGACTGGGGCGGGCGGCGATGGGGAGGGGTGACCGAGGCGGGAGACGCTGGGAAGCGGTGACTGGGACGGAGGTGATGGGGTTGGGAGGGCCCGGGAGGGGGAGGCGCGGGTGCCTGGACCGGGAGGCCACGGGGAGGGTGACTGGGGCAGGAGGCGATGCGGCGCGCAGGTAACTGGATCGGGAGGTGACGGGGTGGGGTGACTGGACCGGGAGGCGATGGGGGGCGCGGGTGACGAGCATGAGGAGACGGGGGCAGGAGGCGATGGGGAAGGAGGGGAGGGCCGGGTGACGAGGAGACTCTCGGCCCCAGGCAGCGATGGGTGGAGGACCCAGGGTGCTGGGAGTGAGCGGGGAGGTGCAGTGAGGGGAAGTCAGGGAGACTCCCGCCTCCAGAAACGAGGGCAGCGCTCAGTGGTGGGGGCCGTGGCCGTACAGAAGCAAAGTTCTGCGTGTCTGGGAAAGCGTCTGGGGGGGGCTTGTGGATGATGCTTCCCTGTCTGGTTTCCACATGACGTCATTTGTCTTTCCAGCCCAGGAGCCTCCCGGATGCCTGGAGCAGAAAGAAGGTGCTGGTGGCGGGGTGAGTACCGAGCCGCCCGCAGCCTGGGCAGCCCAGGCAAACACCGTCCAGGCCAGGCGCCGAGGGACCGGCCCCGACGCCTGTGCCCTTCCAGCTTCTCAGGACTTCTGCCGCAGATGCAGACCCAAGCGCTCCAACAAGCGGCTCACCGGGTATCGCCAGTTGGTTCCTAAAAGAACTGGAATGAGTCACAGGCCTGCCCCTTTAAACCCAGGCTCACAGTCTGGGTCACCGGACGGCGACTGAAATAGTGAAATGTGTCAGTACTTGGGTCCAATGCTCTGATCCAAAAGAGTTATGATTCTGAGCCATAAAGCCTCCGCCTGCCACTGGCTGGGTCCTTTCCCCACCCCTGACCCGACGGCACCGTCATTTCTTTGCAGCATCGCCCTGGGCAAGAGCTGACGACAAAGCTCCGAAGGAAGGCTGGCTCCAAACCCCACCAGGCGTCCGCACCGCAGCGGGGGCCTGCCCGGCCCCGATCTGTGGAGCTGCAGGGAACAAGGTCAGGTTCTGCCCAACTTTGCACGGTGTCCTTTCACGCAGGGCACCAGAGACACCTTTCCAAGTTAAGTGGGTCAAGCCATGGCGTCAGGCTAACAGCAGACCCCCGACAAGTCCGCCCAACGTGGGTGCCTCGACCTTGGCAACCGCACATCTCGTGAAGTGCGCACAGCCGTCACCAGGAAACGCTGCGGCCAGGCCGCCGCTGTGCAGCTCGCTGTCTCGCGTGTGGTTCTTAGGGGCCTTTCCGGGACGCTCAGAGGCTCCACTCACGTTTCCTCGCGATGCAGCCTCCTAAGCGTGTTGCCTACAAAGGGCCTGAATTCCTCATTTTCCCCACGGAGTTCCATAAGGGATCCTGAAGCCCGACAACTGAGACAGTTAATCGGCACGCTTGGCGTAAGGCAGCGGGCAGCTGTCCACGCCGCGCAAGGACCGGTTCAGAGAGGCCCGGTGCGCGGGGGCCCGCGACAGGGAGGTCCCGGCCAGGGATGAGTGGCCGCGTGCCGCTGGCGGAGAGAGCCCTGTCTGAAAGCTATGCGCGGCTCCGGTACCGGGACACCTCCCTGCTCATCTGGCAGCAGCAGCAGCGGAAACTGGAATCCGCGCCACCGGGCACGTACCTGAGCAGGAGCCGGAGCATGTGGTACTCCCAGTACGGAAACGAGGCCATCCTGGTCCGGGACAGAAACAAGCTCGAAGTCTCCCGGGACACGGGCCAGTCCAAGTTCTGTACAATCATGTAACCCCAGCCTGAAAACCGGGGCCCACGCACCAGGCTGGGGGGAGAACAGGACGCATTTCGGTCAGCGGCCCTGGTGGTTGCCAGTGCTTCCTGGGAGATTCTGAATCGTGAGCGTGAAGACCGAGCTGTGCGGGCAGAGCCCGAGTCCGGCTGTGGCGCCCAAGCTCTCCCGCGGTCCCGAGGGACGGGCGGGCCTGGCCTCTGGCCCCATGCTTGGTCCACTGGCGCTGCGGGCACAGCCCGGGCAGGGGGCACGCGCAGATCCTGCTTCTGTCCGATGCTTCCAAATGAACCAAGCAGGAGGGACTCCCTGGCCACAAAGAACCTTTTCAAAGGTTTCTAGGCTGTTTTCCGTATTGCTTTCTGCCTGGTCTGGAGACAGATCTGGGAAGAGGCGGGGGAGTCAGCGTCACGGATGGGCAGGCGGCACCTATGCGGTGAGGGATGTGGGCGGCGGTGGCACCGCGACACGGACGACACGGACTCCTTGCCCTGCACGTCCAGTTACAAGATGGGCATCACGTGCCAGGCGCTGTGGGAGCTTCCACACCAGCTGCCAAGTACGCCCGACACAGGACGGAAGCCCGGGGTTATTTTTCTGCTCCACCTCAGCCGCGAACGGGGAGTTCACATGTGATCACGTGGGTGGAAAAGGCAGGTGCGGCCTCTCGCAACACATCACCCCTGCGTGGTCGGGCCCTGGTTTGTGAGGCACTGTCGGGATTTGCGGTCTGTTGTGACCGAAGTCTGTGAGGCTATGCAAATGGGGGATCTTTTGTCAAGGCTGGGTTTTCTAAATAAATATCCTGTGGGATGCTCCTTCCTTCCTCACTTTTTTAATCTGTTTGTAATACCTTCACTTGGCTTCAGGGTGTGTGTGCGTGCGTTCATACCAGGTGACTCTAATGATTGCTGCAAACCCCGGTACAGAAATACATAAAGCAACGCAAAAGCGTCAGCCCTGTGTGTGTCTGCAGTCGCGCACGGTTCTAAAGGCACAGCTTGCACTGGGCGTCTTGTTCTAGGAGTTTCTTCTGCTGTACAGATGGACGTCTCCACAGTGCTCTGAACGTCTGACCAGCAGCATTCCCGTGTGCCTGCAGGTGAGCAGGGGCCTCGCCGTTGCTGCCGTGCACACAGCAGGGCCTTTCTTCGTCGTACGTGGATCTTTTTGTGGGCATGCCAAGTTCACTGGCAGACATCCTGGAAAGGGCACTGCTGGGTCAGAGCGTGTTCCCCAAACGTTCAGGGTCCAGTCAGATGCCGGGTCCTTCCTGACGGACCCTTGGCTTGCTTGCTGCGCGGGCCGGGAGGCTTGAAGTCCATTTCCTGGATCGCCTCCCGGAGAGGAGGAGGGAGGCTAGTCCCGTGTACAGACCGAGGCGTCTGCTGCAAGGGCCGGCCCGCCGAGCAGCCCTGACACCAGAACTGCCCAGTGGACGGCTCGGTCAACAGCTCTGCAGGCCTTCAGTTTAAGTCCGGCTTGGGAAGAAAGAAACCGCAGACTCATGGAGAATGCCTGTGCTGCGTGCTAACCGCACCGCAGATGAACCCGAGGACAGGTGGCGGTCAGTTTGGCACCAGGCATGGAGGTAGTGCCCGGGAAGGCCAGCATCGGCCACGGCCAGTGTCTGCTCGGGTCAGGGTGTGCAGGTGACTGACGTGCACTGGCCGCTCACAGGACAGCAGGCGCTAAGCTGCTTAGAGCACCAGAAGCCACCAGCCTGCGCCAGGGAAGGCTGGGCGGTGGGGGCCACTGAGGTGGACACAGCAAGTCCGCGTCCTTGGGGAGGTCAGCCTGGATGAGAGCGGGAGAGAGCGTGGACAAGGGTACGGGTGCAGGGGATGCCTGCAGCCACCTGGGGGAGAGGCAGGGTGCGGTGCCAGGCCTGGACCTGGGCCAGGGCGCAGGACGGCTCCGCGAGGCCCAGCTCACACACCTGGACCGCGTGCACAGCAGCGTCCAAGCTCCTGCATCCACTGTTCCTCGCCGAAGCTTTGACCGCATGCCGCGTTCTGCAAACGTACGGTCGTGGGGGCAGGACAGTGTCTGCGGCCCATCGTCCCAGAATCCGCCCCACCCCGTTAGAGAACGGTCAGCAGAGACGAAAGGCTACAAATGATGCTTCCACAAGCTGGCACCTTCCCGCCCGGGCAGAGGACCGGGTGTTTCCGCCCCGCGCTCCAGCAAGGGGACCCTGCCGCCTTCAGGGCACCCCCACACACTCGCGTGCACGGGAGGCCGGGAGCCAGCAGAAAGCACAGGAAAAGGCACATACGGGCACCTCTCTTTGGTTTTTTTTGGTTTTATTATGAAACAAAACAAATGCCCCAGGAGAAGGGTCCATGATTACCAGAGACATCCAAGAGTACTTTCTACCATTTTTATTCTGTTGTGTTGAGGCCAGCACTGCAATAAACAAGCTAAAACTACTTACATTGGACTCATTTTTCAGTAACTGACATTTACAGGAATATACTAGAAACGGCACTAAAAAGTTTAAGAAAAGTTACGGTAAACTTGCATGCACATCATACAGAAAAGTAACATTTTTAAATATAAAAAAGAAAAACTTCCTGGAAGCGTTAATGCCAGCAGTGAGGAACAGGCTACGGCGGATGGAGCGCATCCCTTCTCTGGGCCGTGTCCCTCCCAGAGGGCTGTCACAGACGTGGATGTGGCAGAACAAAAACAAAAAAACAAAAGGGAAACGTATCTTACAGTCTGTAAGCAAATGCCGCCCCCCGGCAGGAGCCAGGGTCTCTGGCCCCCTCGGCCTCCAGGGCTCACGTGGCGCCAACCTCCTAAGCCCATGGGTCCCACCCACTCGCCCTGGGGTGCTCGGCGCCGGGACGACCCCACCCGTTGTCCCACTGCAGCCTCCCCAACACAGAGACGGGGAGATGGCAGCCACCACGGGCTGCCCTCGAGGGGGGGCAAGCACGTTCCCCTAAACTCTAAAGAGAAACCAGCTTTGAAGTCTGCACAGAAAGCCTTAAAAAAAAAAAAAAAAAAAGGCTGCCCTCGAGGGGGGGCAAGCACGTTCCCCTAAACTCTAAAGAGAAACCAGCTTTGAAGTCTGCACAGAAAGCCTTAAAAAAAAAAAAAAAAAAAACCCGCAGCCCCAACAGCCTACAACGGTTCTGGATGGACAGCGGCCCTCTGCGCCATCACGGCTGGCAGCCTCTTCCCAGGGCGAAGGGGGCAGAGGTGTTCCAGAAGCCGGTCTCCCGCAGAGCCGGCGGATAACGAAGGGCTCGGACACACGTCCGCTGTGCCAGACCTGAGGACCACACGCTCTCCCCCACCTACTGGCTCACACAGGCCCCTCGCCATCTCCGTGGCTGGACAGCGGCTCCGCGGGAGGCCCCCGGCCCCGTGCAACTCCCGGCACCCTCTGCTCAGGGGTCCGTTCGTCACCCGGAGGTGTGCTCGCCGCATGCTGCCAGAGTGATCCTGCTTCCAGACCCATCCATCGTGACATGTATTCCTTCCTTAAAGTCCCAGTTTAAATATTCCATTAAAGATCTGCTTAGAAAAAACACCTTTGAAAAACAAGGGTAACTTTAAAAAATGGCAAGTTTAAAATCCACATATATTTTGATTATAAACACAACATAATTAAAAGTTTAACTGGCTCAAAACTCACCAAGCATCAGAATCACCAGCAGTAAGAAAAATGGTATTAACCACCCCCCACCCGCGGACTCCTCGGTCAGAGTTCCACATCCGCCAAGGGCATCTGTGACCGTAAGGGCCAGTGGACTCTGAATGCAGTTTACGAGTCTTAAAAATTTGTCCCCCTTTTAGGATACTGAGGACTAGTCCCCTTGTCCGCCCGAAAACGTGCCACCAGACCAAAGGCCGGGCCACCCGCCACTCCGCCCCCAGCACCCTCCTCCAGGAAGTCCTCGTGGGGAGGCCTGGGAGAATGCCCTGTGTCAGTCATTTCTGTGCTACCAGGAAAATGCCCTGTGTGGTCCTGGGGAGCGGACCCTCTTGCGGCCGGGGGTGGGGGTCTTCCGCCCCTGGAGAGAGAAGCCTGACCAGACGGCCGCCGATGGGCTGGAAGGCCGCAGCGGGCAGTGGGGGCGGCCGCCCCTGCCCTGGGGCCCGAGAGGCGAGGGGTGCCCCAATCTGGGGACCCGGACGGCTGACCCCCGGCACTCTCGGCCGACGCCACATGCTCAGAGCTCAGGGAGGCAGCGTGGGGCGTCCCTGTACTCAAAGGCCGCAGGGCGGCCTCTGGAAAAAAACAAAACCAAAACATAACCTTCTGTTAAACTCTGTATATTATTATTATTATTATTTTTTACAATAGAAAGTTAAAAATCAAGACTTAGAGATTTACTATACATTTTTTTTCCTTTCAGATTACAAAGTTTATATTATATAACTGGGGTTCCCTAAATTGATTTCTTTTAAAACAGTCCTAAAGAGACCAGAGGCGAATACAAAAGAACTCAACAAAATAAAAACTGAGGGTGTGCTGCAGCCGAAGTTGTCTGTACCTGTACGTCTCCAAACGTTACACACACACACACACACACACACACACACACACACACACGAAGGACAGGCACGGAGCCCCCGCGGAGCCGGGAGGGGAGCCGGCGTGGGGGGCAGGGCCCAAGCACCTGCAGGCGGGAGTCCGGGCTCTCCTGCTAACCACATACGAGGCCTGCACTTCTGCGATTTTTTTTTTAATCCATTTCTTTTTCTTTTTTCTTTTTTTTTTTTTAAAAAATGACCAATGATGTTAATAAATAAAGTATTCATATATACACGAAGTTGGGGAAACGGTTCCAGAGTGTGCGACAGCTAACGAGTTGGGGACACACGTTGGGCTGGACTTTTCGTAGAAAACTGCTGAACCTTACAAAAAAAGTCTCCTTTTATTTTTTATTTACTTTTTGTTTTTTTAAACTTTTTTTTTTTTTTTCTTAAGTTGAGGTAAAAGTTTCAGTGTATGGAAACCTATGGGCTGCGCGCGCAGCCCCCGTGTTCCCTCCCGGGAGCTCCTGACACCCCTCCCCTCGCGCCCGCTCGCTTCTCTCCCCACCCCTGCAGAGCCCCGCCTGGAGCTGGACAGCCCCCGCCCCAAGCCCGCGCCAGCCTGGCCGTTCTCCGCGCCCCCAGAAAGCGGCGACCCCAGCTGCGAGGAAGCTCAGCTTGGGGCCCCGAGGACAAAGACCGCCTATTTGCCAAGCCGACCGCTTTCCACACAGTACCATCCAGAGAAACTTCCTTCCAAACAGTGCTTTCCGGGGCCGGAGACCAGGTGGGGCCTACGACAGGGGTTTTGCAAGAAACTCCAGATCACATGTGACAGGGTTTTCCTACGGCGGTCAGGTCGGCGTCTGAGGTTGTCAGCTCCGAGCAACCGGATTCAGTTACGAAGACTTTATGCAGAGTCGCACCTGCTCGTAAAGCCTCACGTACACACGAGAAAGATCTCTGACCTATTAAAGCAAAAACTGGCAGCTACCATAACACTGAGTTAAGAAGAAAGCCCGCACACCATGGAACGAAAGTAGTATATTAACCATAGAAGGGAACACTGCAGAGTCGGGGCGAGCGCGACGTCGCTGCTTCCGTGCCGTTCTGAGTCCCGGGCTCATTCCGAGTCGCTGCTGTCGGAGCTGGACCCGCTGGAACTGCTGCTCCCGGACCCCGACGAGCTGCTGCTGCTGAGCCGGGATGGCCCTCCCGAGGGCGCCGAGCCCGCTTTCTCTGAGGGAGACGTAGCAGGTGAGAGGCGCTCCCCCGCGCACCCCCATGCACCCCTGCACCCGCCGGGCGAGCTCTTCCAGAACGTTCACCGGCTTCACGCTGCTGCATCACGCGCCTCGACCCACCCGCTCCTTCACCCCGTTGCTCGGTCAGTGCTAACGACTATCTGTTGGTGCATTAATGAGGGTAGGGTAAGGTGAGACATGAGTTCGGCCTGTCCGCGGGCCGGGCACAGGGCTCCTAAAACCCTCCTGAAATCCTGATAGGAACGTCTTGGGTTATTTGCATGGAGCCCCCTCTATGTCACACCTGAGTTAGTGCTCACGAGTGACTCGGTATAGCTGGTCCCCAGGAAAACCATGGGAATGGGGCCCCTAACTCCGGGGTGGGGAGGGCAGTGGAGACAGAGTGCTAAAATCCTCTCGACCCCCAGAGCTTCAGGGTTCAGGGGCAGGTGGAGGTGTGGGGAGGGTGGCGTGCCCAGGAGGGGAGGGGAGCTGCATGCCCTCACCCCTGCCACACCTTGCCCTGTGCACCCCTCCCGTTTGGCTGTTCCTGACTGTGTCCTTTATTATAAATGACACAGTAAATGAAGCACTTTCCTAAGTTCTGTGAGTCATTCTAGCAAGTTATCAAATCTGAGCAGAGGGTCACGGGAGCCCCCGTTTATAGGTCAGTGGTAAGGCAGGCCCAGGACTCGTCCCTGGCATCTGAGAGAAGGGCTGTCTTTGGGGGTGAGCCCCCCTCCACTGGGGTCTGAGCAAACTCTACAAAAATAGTGTCAGGACGGAACTGGGTGGCTGGACCCCTCCAACGGCTGGCACAGCAGTCGTATGAGCAGAAGCCCACACACGTGGTGTCAGAAGTGGGAGTAAAACTAGCTAAGAGACCAACAACACTAAACATACTGGGTCTGGAAAACACGGGTGCCATCTTCCAGGAGAATCTGATGGGGGGGCAGAGGTCAGCAGTATAAAGATACCCACCAGTCACGTGCTGCCTACCCTGCCCCTCCCCGGGGGCGATCCAGGGGACCCTCCCAGGATTCAGTGGGAGTGCCAAGCAGGACCTGGCACAGCATCGGCACCCAGCTGCCACATGATCATGCAGATGCGACCCCGACTGACCACCACCTGGGCCCCACGGTCCCTGGGGCTGGGAGTAAGTTATCTGCCCTTTCTTACAGGCTCCAGAAGAAAGAGACAGAGTCAAATCACCTGCTCGCCTAAAATAAGACCCCACAGTCCACAAAGCACAGGGCCTGGCCAGGGGCAGCCAGAAAGCTTGCTGCCAGGGGCTAGGACCCCAATCCCTCTCAAGCCATGGGGTCTACCCCCTAAGACCACAGTGAGGCCCTTCCAGAGAGTCCTCCCCGAGGGGTCCTGGCACAGGGCACTTCCAGCCACTGCTTCCATCTGCTCACCTCCCTGAGGGCCGGGGTCCCCAGTTTACAGACAAGGGACTTGGGGCTTCAGGGATCAAGAGCTTCACCTAAGGACACACTGCTCCGTAACCGGAGGAGCCGCAGACCGAAGCCCAGGTCTGCCAGCCACCGCCCCACCACCGGCCCTCCCCTGTCGCCCGAGAGCAGCGGCGGGGAGTGCGGGGGCCTCACGCCTGGCAGCAGCGTGGCCCGCACACGGGTACCTTTCTTGGCAGGCTTCTTGCTGTTGTTCAGCTGTCCGCTGACGTCCTGCAGCCGCCTCTCTAACTCCTTCTTCTTTTCCTGAGCTAACTCCTCCTTCGACTTGGCCGCCTGCTTCTTCCCGCTTGTGGCTGTGGAAGAGCACGGGGCTGAGAGGGCGGGGCCAGCCAGCCCTCCTGGGAGCCGGGGAGCCGAGCCTGGGCCCCCAAGGGCCGAAGGGCCACGGCCTGAGCTCCCTGCCGGACCCCGGCCTGCATGCGCTGAACCCTCGGCACAGCCTTCTCTGCAGCCTCACACCACCCCCAGCGCACACGGCGCACAGGCGGGCGGCGCGGCTCGGAGGCCCCCAGGGAGACCGGAGCCCGGGCCCTCGGGACTCACGGTTCTCCTCAGGGACGCGGCTCTCCCTCAGCCTCAGCAGTGCAGCTTCCGCCGGACGCCCGTGCCACCGCCTCGGAGTCCGAGGGGAACTTACCGGGGGTCACATGGGCCTGACTTGGGGGCCACGTGACCCCGTCCAGGGGGCAGCAACGGACCTCTCAGAGTGAGGGAGAGAGCCCAGCGAGCGGGCCACACGCAGGCGTAGGCGCACCCCGGCCCGGCCCGGCCCTCCTGCCGCCTCAGGCCTGCCTTCCCCTCACTCCCCAGCACCTGCAGCCCCAGGCAGCGCCTCGTCCGTCCCGGGAGGCCTCTGGACCCTCAGCTCCCAGCAAGAGGGAAGCGGTCCGCCCCGGGACGGGGGGCATCCAGAGGTCCCCCGCAGCCCTGGCTCCAAACAGAACCTCTAGGAGGCTGTGGCGAAGGCTTTAACTGGCACTTGAATGCAGGGGGGCTCGGGGACGACCCAGGTCCTGCCCGTCCCCGTGACGGCCGAGGATGCACGTGCTGCCCACCTGCCCACAGGCGGGGAGCAGGGCCCGGCTGAGCACTGACTGTCTCTGGGGCACACAGCAGGAACGGAGGGAGGAGAGCGACCCCCCACCCCCAGCGTGCGCTTAGAGAAGTGGGAAGGGGAGGCAGGGGTGAGGAGGAGACAGATGGGAAGCAGGGTGCTCGGCCCCCACAACTTACAGAATGGCTTCCTTTGCTTCTTCTGTAAACAAGACTTGACGTATCTCTCTAGTTCCCGCAACGTGGTGGGTTTCAGAGTCTCAAAGTCAATCTCTATCTCGTCAGGGTTGGAGTCCCTGAGCGAGGGCTCCCGGGACTGGATGATGTGCACCACGCGGCCCAGCTTCTCCCCGGGCAGCCGGTTGATGTCCAGGCTGAGCTGGCGCTTCTCATCGTAGCTCATGGGCAAGCCCTCTTCCTCCTCCTCCGAGTCGTAGGAGGCCGATGCCTGCTTGCCGCCCTTCTTCGGCTGCCTGAGACACAAGGTGAAGGACACCGTGGCACAGAGCCCCTGCCCCGTTCCCCCAGCCCCGTGAAACCCCTTCCCCATCCCCCCTGCTCCTGTCCTCCCGTCCCACGGAGCCCCTGCCCTATCCCCTGTGAAGCCCCTGCCCCTCCCCCCACCCGTGGAGGCCCCGCCCCCGCCCACCCCCAACCCCGTGGAGGCCCAGCCCCTGTCCCTCCCCCACCCCGTGGAGGCCCCGCCCCGTCCCTCCCCCAGCCCTGTGGCGCCCCTGCCCTGTCAGTCCAGCCCCCGTGAAGCCCCTGCCCCCAGCCCATATTCTATCTGGCCTTCTTCCTCTACAGAACCAGGCTCTTTTACCAACAGGCAAGCCCAAAGTGGTGCCCGAGGTGGAGAAGCCAGGTGGGCTGTCCCGGGGGCTGCATGTATATCTGCAGGGACCTAGAAGACCTTGTTCCAGAGGTCACAGCAGACGCGGCTCCCAACTGGAAGGTTTCCAGGCCTGAGCCAGGAAAGGACCACAGTGGTCAGCTCCCTTCAATGCCCACAGGCATCTCAAATTCAGCAGGTCAGACACTGATCTCCATAGTCACATAATCCAAAAGGAGACAGAAAGGGAACAGAAGAGTAAAAACCAGAGAGATGACAGAAAGTGATGGAATGGAAGACCAAAATGCAACTATACCAATTACCACATTAAATATAAATGGTCTAAGACACCAACTAAAAGTTAAGACATAGTCCTATTGGATAAGAATCAAGATTCGACTTACATGGGTCCACAAACCCCATTTTAAATACTGTGATGGAATTAGGTTAAAAGTAAAGAAGCTGGGGAATCAAACATTAACCAAAAGAAAGCAGCAGTGGCTGTACTAGCTTCAAACAGAGGAATTGTCAGGGAGAAGCAGCACAAAATAGAAGGATCAACTGACCAAGAAGACATCACAGGCCTCAGCGTGCGTGTATCTAAAACCTACGCTTCAAAAGAAATGAAGCAGAACTGGCAGAACCAAAGGGAAGTAGAAACATTTACAATTACAGCTGGGGACCCAATGATTTTCTCCCTCACAGTAATTAATAAAACAATTCAGCAAGAAGAAAGAAGACCCCAATACCACCATGAACCAAATTAACCCGACATGTTTGTTTGTTTGTTTTTTTCCCCTGACATTTAAGCAACACTAGACCCAACAGCGGGAGAATGCATATGCAAGTCCACAGGAACATTCCCCAAACCCTGGCCATAAAATAAATCTTAATAAATGTAAAAGTACTGAGCTCATACAAAGTATGTTCTCGGACCCTTATGGACTTAAACAGAAACCAGTAACTGAAGAATGTCTAGAAATGTCTCTAGTTACCTGGTAATTAACATGTGTCTAAATAACCTGTGGTCAAAGAGGAAGCCTGAAGAGAAATTAGAAAATATTTTGAACTAAATGAAATCGCACGTATCGAATTTGTGGACTACAGCTGAAATAGTGTTTAGATAGAAATTAATAGTCGTTATTAAATGCTTACAATAGAAAAGACCTTAAATCAATAAACCTGTTTCTACTTTAAGAGAGCAAGCACAATAAGTCCAAAGTAAGCAAAAGGAAGTAATAAAAAATAAGACCATAAACAAAAGGAAACGAAAGCAGACACGAACCAATGACATTAAATGCTAGTTGTTTCAATGCCCAATAAAACAAATCAATCAATGTCCATGTTCACTGAGAAAAAAGACACAAGCTACCCCTATGGAAGAAAGGACCCATCACTACAGACCCCACAGATGTTAAAAGGATAATAAGAACACACTACAAACAAACCAATGCCCATAAATTCCACAATTCAGGTGAAATGGAGCAATCAATGTCTCCGAAAGCACGAACCTCCAAAACTCACTCAAGAAGAAACTGACAGCCTGACCAGTCCCCTATCTACAAAAATAACTGGATTCATCATTAAAAACCTAACAATGAAAACTCCAGGCTGCGGTGCTTTCCTGGGGAATTCTACTTTGTATCTAACTAAGAATGAATACCGAGTCTATAAATCTACCCAGAGAGTAAGAGAGAGCACCTCCCAACTCATTTTTTTCCTCCCAACTCGTTTTTGAGGCCAGCGTTACACGGACACCAAATCCGGACAGAGTACAAGAAAATCTGAGGGGGGAAGGGCAAAACCGGAGTATTCCCCCCACGACCTCTGGATCCTGGTGTGTCTGCCCAGCTGACCCGGCCCACACCCCCAGCTCCAAATGCCCGTCCTCTGGCTTCCAGGCACTGCGGCCCATCCCTTCGGGCTCCCACCTCCATGGCCGCCCGGGCCTCTCTTGCCTGCATAACCACAGAACCTCCCAGGATATCCCTTCTCCCATCCTGCTGCCCCCTTCTCCACGCTGACCTGGATCTGACCGCTTCTAGCTCAAACACTTCCTGACACCCCCCCACCCCCTTCCCTTGCTCGGGGGATAAAACAAGAGGCCTCAACAAAGCCAGCCAACCTCAGCTGTTCCTCTTCCCGACCCAGTCTCTGTTCCTCAGTGGAGCCAGCCTTGTCCTAATACCCACTAGTTTCTAGAGCGCTTGTGCTGGCCTCCAGGGCTCTGTTCCCGCTGCTTCTGACCCTCGGAACCTATCCCTCCCGCTGCTGAGCAGCGGTCACCCCTCCTCCGGGAAGCCTTCCTTCTACCTTGCGGGAGAGGCATGCCTTCCCCCCGTCCTCCCCTCCTTGTCATCTGGGCTGGGGCAGGCGCTCCCCAGGGCAGTCCCCAGGGTGGCAGGAGCGAAGACGGGGCAGGCAGACCAGGGAGCACAATCCCCGCCAGGTGCAGTGCCCCCAGATCAAAGTCCTCAGCTCAAATCAGGAAAGCGTCTCCGAGGCCCAGAGACGCCGAGGTCTGTGCCGGAGGTCTGTGCGAGGCCGAGAGGCTGGCCGCATGGGGGGCTGGGCGAGGCCCTCCAGGGCCCAGTCTTTGCAGCAGGGGCCTCCTTCTCACCCCCCAGCCTCCCCAGAAGGCGGGAGAGACAAGAACCGCCCAGCCCCCATCCAGCTGGATGACAGGAGCCCGGTCTCCGTGTCACCAGGACGTGCCCCCAAGGCGCAAAGGCCCAGACCCGGCACCCAGGATGCAGGGCACCAGGCTCAGGGGGCCCGAAGGCGCCACGGCCCACCTGCCGGCCGCGGCCGTGCTGCTGGCCTTCTTGGCGGGAGGCTTCTTGGGCTGGGCCTGCTTGGCAGGCGGGGCCGCCTTGGCTTTCTTGTCGTCCTCGCACTTGGCCTTGTGCCTCTCCTTGTCCTTGTCCTTGTCCTTGTCCTTCTTCTTCTTCTCCTTCTCCTTCTTCTCCTTCTTCCTCTTTGGCTTGTTCACCGGGGCCTGCGACAGGGCGGCCAGCTGCTCGTGCACAGCCTTCAGCTGGAAGACAGCGGGGGGCTGAGCAGGGCTGCCCAGGGTGGGGGGGGGGGCATGGGTGTCCGAGGAGCCCCCCAACCCTGCAGGGAGGCGGGCCGGCCCGCAACGGCTGGAGAAGAGGGGCCGCGCCGTCCTCACTGGAGACACAGCTCACCGGTGGGCGGGAGGCCACCAGCTGAGCCTGGTGACCCGCTCAGACCAGCGCAGGTGCACAATAGCCACCTGATAAACAGTAGCCAGGGGTGGCTGGGCGGCTCAGGCGGTGAAGCCTCTGACTCGGGCTCGGGTCATGATCTCACAGTCTGTGGGCTGGAGCCCCGTGTCGGGCTCTGTGCAGGCAGCTCAGAGCCTGGAGCCTGTTTCGGATTCTCTCTCTGCCTCTCCCCTGCTAGAACTCTTTCTCTCTCTCTCAAAAATAAGTAAAAAACATTTTATAAAAAACCTTAAGGGGTAGCTAACATTTTTCTCGCCAGGTATCTTCCAGATGAAGGCAAGTCTACATTGAGGCCTATTACATAGAGGTCTATTCGTCTGCACGAAGGAGGTTCTCCACAGCTTCCTCAGAGGCCACAGGGATGCCACATGGCAGATGCCCAGGATTAGACCGACCCAGCGCCAGCAGCTACCATAAGGTAGTGCCGACACAACTGGTAGCGTGCTAAGCGCTTTACACACTTCCCATTCCAGGGCCGTCCCCCCACATGGGCCCTGAGGGGCCACCAGGAGCTGCACCTCAGCAGGGAAGAAATGATGTCACATTTCTTCAGCTGGGGAGCATCATCTCTAACGAGGCTCAACCCAAAGTCCAACGCCAGTCCCGCTGCGGCAACGCAGGGGCACCTGTGCTCAGCTCTCCCCTCCCTGCCAGAGGCCGGGCTGGGGCCACCGCCCCCCGCGCCGGGCGAGACACCCAGCATCGGCCGGGACCTCAGCCAGGCTGGCGTGACCCGAGCCCGCACCTGCTCCTGCAGCTCCGCCAGCCTGGTGGCCCGCTCCTCCTCTGAGTCCGAGCTGCCCGAGTCCGACGAGCTCCCCTCGCTGCTGCGGCTGCTCTCGGCGCCCTTGCTCAGCGCTGGGGCTGCAGGGGCAGGCAGCGCGGGCGCCTCCGCGGGCTCATCTGGCATCTTGGCAAACCGCATCTCAAACACGTCCTGTGGGGGAATGAGGGGGGGGTGCCGCCTGAAGTCCTGCGCGCCCCTGAGGCAGGCCCCGGACATGCACCCTGAGATGCTGGGAAGGCCAGGCCTGTAGGGAGCCTGGGCCGCCCCTGGCCTGCTCCCACTCCCTACCCAGGCCCTGGGCACAGGTCCGGGAGTCATGGGGCCATGGGGCCCCAGCCACAGACACTGCCTTCTAGGAACTGGTCCGCAAGCCCCCTCTGTCAAGCACGCAAGCCTTCTGCAGATCAGTGCCTCCCTTTACCTCTGGGTCTCAGGCTCTCTGAGGCTGTCCCCCTCCCCTGCTGCAAAGCAGCTGGAGTACCTGCCTTTGTCTGACCTATGACCTCTTTGGGTCCCCTTCTCTCCCCCCACCCATGCACCCCGTCTTCACCCTGGGGTTTTACTGCATCACGTCCCATTCTGAGTTAGGCCCAAAAAAGTTGGCTCAAAAGGCAAAAGTCTCATCTTGTCAAAACTGGCTTCGAAAAGCCCCTTTCCAGCAGGGCCCTGGCCCTCAGGAGCACCTTCCGGCCAAGGTGCCCTCTCTTGGCTGCCCCAGCGTATTTCAGATGGGGGTACACAGCCACGTGGGGGGCACTCCCCGCGGAGCTCATCCGGCTGTACCCATACCAGCTCACGTGTGCCAGAGGCCACCCCCCGCGAGCCATCCAGCTCCAGAAGCTCCAGAAGCTCCTGCTCGGGGCTCCGGTCCCAGACTCTCCTCCCGGGGTGAAGATGTCCCCAAAGACACAGGTGCACAGAGCCATGGGCTGGCCTGGCGGGGTGCCGACCCCAGGGCTGCCCCGCACCCCTGCGCTAGTGCACCCACTCAACAGCCCTCGGTGTTCAAGACTCTCAGCTTCTGTGGCCACGCCGCCAGGAGCCACCTTTTGTGGGAACCGAACCGCGGCCGCGGGCTGCCAACTTCTGCCTGCACGCCCCATCACCACCAGTGCCGCCCAGCTTCCTTATTAAGCTGAGCCAGTTTACCAGATTTGGGGGCATCACAGAGCACATGCGGAGGGAGTTCTGCAAAGCCTTTCTGCCCCAAGGCACGAGTCTCAGTATAAAACCACAGATGCTGCTGGTGTTCCCCGGGCACGCGGCCCACCAGGGCCACTGGCCCTGCTCCCCAGCGGGGGACGCATTGCAGACAGCTTCTCCCCACTCCCTCCCTGCGTCCTGGGCGGCCAAGGGCTCTGAGCAAAAAACTAGGAAGATCTCACACAGCGAACATCCCGCGTCCTGGAGAAACAAAAACTACTGGAGAAGAGCAGAGAGTAGGGCCTACAATTTTCACTCTTTCCTCCAAAATACTGCTCCAGTTACATAACGTGTAAGATTCTGCTGCTGTCGTTTACAAAAGCCACGGCGTCCAGCATTGAGGGCGCGTACTGACCCACACGGGAACGCGTGTGCACAACCAAGCCTCCGTGTGCGAGGTGTGAGGACACAGGGGCACGGTCTGAGCTGAAGGTCAGACCCACCTTCCCCACGGGGCCCACACTCACCCCACAAGCTGTCTGCTTTTGTCGTTGGAAAAGAAAAGGCCACGCAAACAGCCACATCACATACGACCTCCAGCAGCCTCGCTGGGAGGCTCGTGGCAAGCCCCCCGCCCCCACCCCGGGCACGGAGCCCCGCGCTGCAGAACGCGCACCTCCTCATCCTCTTCGGCCCTGCTGCAGCGTGTGCCGTCCCGGAGGGCGTGTGCCCGGGGCTCCGCCTGTCCGCCACCGTGTCCCGCAGCCAGCACTGGGCGCCACTCGGGAGAAATGAGTCCCGTGGCATTCCGGCTGGATGTCCCCCGGGGTGCCCACCCTGAGTGGGGCCCCACCTCTGCCCCAGAGCGCCTCAGGTTACCTGGAGCTTCCTGGCCATGGCCACCACCTCATGGTCTGGGGGGTTGTATTTGTAGCAATTGGAGAACATTAACCGGATGTCAGCCGCGAAGCCCTGCGCGTCCGGGTACTCGCGGCTGTCCATCTTCTTCTGTAAGACACGAGCGCCGGGGCGTGAGGGGCGCTGCCTACATCCCCACTCTCCCAGGCCCCCCTGCATGGACCCCTGCCTGCCACCGGCCCAAGCGTGTGGAAGCAGGACCCGGGGACTTGGGAGGGGGGCTCTGGGACCCCCCGGAACAATTCCCCAGAGAGGCATTCTGGCTCCTCAGCCACCGCGTAAGCTCTCCTGGCCCCGGCTTCCAGCTCCACACGTCGCGTGACTTTGTACCCAGTGAAGTCCCTCACGGGGGCGCTCCCGGGGGGGACGGGGGATCCCGGTAAAAGTCGCTGCCAACCCCGGTGGGGGTGGGGGTGCCCTTAATTCACGGACTGAGATGTTCACTTCTCCTCTGTGAGAATCCAGACGCCCCCCACAAGCTGGTCCTGGCCGACCCAGCGGGACACGGTGGGGCTGGCGGGGGGGGGGGGGGGACTCAGGCAGGCTGACTGCGGAGCACAGAGGCGCCACACGCACAGAGGTGTGCATCGACAGGCACAAGCTGTCAGACGGAGGGGAGACTCGGTGAAGGAGCGAGCTCCCTGTGTCTCCCGCGTACAAGCAGAGATCACCAGCCAGGGACCTCCTGTGGGCAAGGGCTGCTCCTCTTTCCTGGGTGCTGAGACCCCACAGGCTGGGGCTCAACGCCTGTCTCGTCTGCACCTCCTAACAGAATCCCGGACCTGGGGGGCTGAGCGCGGCCCGACTCCAGCGCCCGCGGCCTCTCCGGAGCCCTGGACACATGCCCCCTCGCCCGCCAGCCGCAGAGCTGCGACAGCCCCCAGGCTGCATGGCTCCGGCGCCTGGCACAGCTTCCCTGCCGCAGGGAGGCCAAGCTACCAGGGACACACGGCACCCGGGACCCTCTTGACTCCCGGACGACTTTCAGGCTCTGTCCTAACTTGACCCCTGGCTACCTTCCCAGGGCTGAGGCATAAACGGGCTAAACCTAAGTGTACTTGGGGCACCCAAGGAGAGTCGGGCGGCTGGCCACGGCTCCTGGCTGGTTCCCGGATGACGGGGTGTCCCGTCAAGGGGAGCGAGCGCCACAGCAAAGCACCAGGTCTGGCAGGACACAGCCCCGCCCCCCACCCCAGCTTCAGCGCTTCCCCTCAGCCTGTCCCTGGCCATGTGGCTTGGACGAGTGGCCGTTTGCGTCCAGCCTCACTTGGGGAAAGCTCTGGGGATTAAGAAGGGCACAAATGTCACCATTGCCGACAACGTCCCCATCTGCGTGACCTGAGCTCTGCTGGCTGAGCTCGAAGCTTGAAGAGTCAAAGACCTAGAATCGGGGCCTGGCTCCGCCCCCAACTTATCCCCCCATCCAGCCTCAGTTTCCCCATCTCCAAACAGCAGGGGCAAGTGAGGACGAAGGCCCAGCCCCTGTACCTGCCACCCCAAGTCCCAGCCAGATCACTGCATGGGGAGGAAGAGACGGGCATACAGCCCTGTCTGGGACTTGGGGGGGGGGGGGCAGCCACCCGCTGTTGGCCGGGGGCCAAGACTCCACAGACCCTAAGGGGGGACAAAGCCCCCGTGGCACGAGCACTCGGCCTTGAGAACTGCATCTGGGAGCCTGTGTTCCCGCTGCCCCATGGTCAAGACTGGCCAGACGAGAGCCAGAGCGACTCTGAACACCGGTTAGGAACTCTCCCCGGAAAGAGAGGAGGCCGCGGAAGGGAGGCCTGCTCTCCAACGGCCTCCACCTTGCTGGGACCTTTATGCTCATCCTGTATCTGTACTGACTCATACTGGTCCCAAACCTTCCAAAGCAAAGGATGTTACCAGGCTCCCAGCGGGGGCAGGAAGAGCTCGGTCACCCGAGTGCTTCTCAGGCGCCACCGCCTGGGACAGCCAGGTCCGTCCTGTCTGAAATCCACGTGCGCCTGGGGGAAAGCTCCAGTACGGAGACCCTGCCCCAGGCTGGCATCACTGGGAAACGGAGAAGAATGACAGAGACCAGCCGGTCAAGGCCGAGACCCTCTCCATGCAACGACACCACCATTCCCCTCTGTGAGGTGGCCCTCGGGGCCATGCAGGCAGTTCGCAGAGGAGGGGGGCTACAGTCCCCAACCGCCAGGGGCACGCTCCTTGGAACCTCAGGGACCAGCACTGGGCTGGGGCCCAAGACGGATCGGGGCGGGGGTCAGGAACCCCACCTGCATGTGCTCAGGGAAGTCGTCTTGGGAGCTTATCCCGGCCCTGGGTCTGCTGCCCTTCGGCTGCACCCCACACCCCCACCCCCCACCCCGGGCACTTGCTCTCCCTGTGGCCCAGCACAAGCCTCTCTCTGCTTGTTCACACCGGCCTGGGACACCACCCGATAAAGCCTCGGGCGGAGCCCCCAGCCCGAGGCCCGCGCTCTCGGTCTTGGCTCTGCTACCCCCTCCCCCGCTCCGAGGCCCCTGTCTGGCCAGCGAGGGCATGGGGGCACCCGAAGGGCCTCCTTGCTGACAGCATGAGACATGCAAACGCACCAGGACGGGACCCAGGAAGGGGGTAATGGACCCGGGTGCAGGTGGAACCAGGACCCCCGAGCCGCAGCTTCGGTGACAGCAGGCAGGACGCGCCTTCCTCCCAGACCCGGCCGGACCCTCGTCACCAGCAGCCAAGGCACCAGCCCCGCCCGAGCGGGTGCCCTGCCAGCGCCGCGCGCCAGCGTACCTTGACAGTGCTAAGGTCCATCGGGTGCTTGATGATGTCGTGATAGTCATGCAACTCCAGGGCCTCGGCGTCCACCGGCTTGTAGAAGGGCCAGGCGTAGGCCGCGTGCTTCTTGGACAGCATCTCCTTGAGGATGCTGTCGCAGTGCCGCAAGTGCTCCGACAGCTTGCCCTTCTTGCCCGCGTGCTGGGGCACCTCGCCGTCCTCCAGGTCCTTCTTGGGCGGCTTGATGGGGCGGCCCCCGCTCTCCCGCCGCGCCACCACCTTGGCCTGCTTGGGGTCAGACAGCGGCGGGGGCGACTCGCTCCGGCTGGCAGTGATGGCCGACGTCGTGGGCGTCGTGGTGTCTGCTTTCCGCTTCACACCCTTTTTCTGCGACAGCGACGCGACCAGTGAGCGCCGGGCACGAGAAAGCAGACGGCGGCAGCTGCGCTTCCAGAGCGCTATCGGCCAGGCACCGAGCAAAGCGACCACGCGCGCATGCACAGCCACGCCCGTCCTCCCCGCGGGCCCCCCTCCCCTGCAGCACACGGGACGCCGAGGCTCAGAGGGGCCACGTTTCAGGCCCAAGGTCACACAGCTGGTAGTGGTGAGGCTGGACGCAGAAACCATCCCCGGAGCTGCCCCTCTGAGGGCCCGCTCCATCTGCCCCCAGGCCTCTGCGGTCCCCGTGGGCTCCCGGTCACGCCCCAGCAGCGCAAGGTGTCGCATGCGCTTCACCTGCATCTGACCTCAGGGGCTGTGCTGGGGGCTCCCGGGGCCGGCATGACCAGGGTGAGCCCGGTGGTGGGAGCGTCCCCAAGCGGGAGCGTCCCCAGGGACAGCAGAGATGAATGGGATCCTCGGCTTATAAAGGCCGGCGGGAGAGTCCCAGATCAGGGCCTCCAGGCTGGGGCTCACGGTGGAGCAGGGCGAGGCCGGGAGGCAGGAAGGCCAGGGGCCGGGCAGGGTCGCGGCAGAGTGTCTGGGACCAAGGACTCCCGGGGGCTGACTGGGCAAGTCAGGACTTGAACCCCGAAGGCAGCAGGAGCCACAGGAGAGGGAACGCTAAAATGATTAGCAGAGTCTCTCGGGGGCATGTGTCGGGCACTCACACAGGATGTCCCCAGTGGGAGAGGGTGTGAACGCCCAGGAGTCCTGGGCCATGCGCGTCCCCTCAGGCACCGTGCCCGGGGGCCACGGGCATCAGGGTGTGGGCTGCAGCCAGGGCTCAGCGCGCCCGAGACCGGCTCGGCCAGCGCCCCGCCTCCCGGACCGGCAGAGGAGCCCCTCAAAGTCGCGGCGCCCGGGCCGATGGCCTCACGGGGACCCGCTCTCCGGGACACCACCGCGGTCTCTGCCCCAGCCAAGCCACTGCCCCCAGGCCGGCAGGGGCACGAGCTGGCGGTCCGCAGACGCTTGTGGGCACCCACAGGATGCCAAGCGCGTGCCACCAAGGTGCGGTGGGGCGCTCACCTGGCCACGGCAGACAGGACATGCTCCAAAACCAGCCGGGCACTGGGCTGGGCAGCCTGGCCAGGCGCCGCCCGGGCAAGAGCAGGCAGTGAGACCACGGGGGAGGGGAAGCAACGCAGGGGGCATTTTACCTTGGGGGAGCCACTTAACCCCTCTGAGCGCCTGCTTCCTCATCTGTAACCTGGGGGAAATACTGTCTGCCCCAGAGGGCCGCTGTGAGGGGCAAACGGAAGACGACACACATCAGCGCCCGGCACGCGGCCTGTCCGGACCTCACGGCGAGCGCCGGCTCGGAGCCCAGACCCGGCCGGGACAGTCCCCGCCACGAGAGTGCCAGCCACGCTGGGGAGACGGATGGCGCTAGAGCTCGTGCCAGCAGGGGTGCTGGCCCCGCACGACGCCCCCAGGCCACTGCCCTAAATGCAAGTGTGAGTTGGGGGGCTCCGGGCCTGTCCACCCTGCTCCCCACACCTTCCCACGGGACCCTGCGCTGCGCAGACCAGGCCTTCGGGCCAGAGAGGCAGGGGTTCAGCGCAGCCCGCCCTCACCAGCTGTGTGACCTAAAGCCACCCAAGCCTCGGTCTCCCCATCTGCGTCAGGAGCACAGAGAGAACCAAAGTCACGTGTACCCGACATTCGATAAGCAGTCAGAGCCCGGGGACAGGTAGCGGCCCCCTCCCCCCACCAGCCCGAATCCAGGAGCGCCGGCCCGGCCATCAGCCAGCTAGCTGGCCTCGTCCCCAGGGATGCTCACCTTGATGACAGGCGGTGTGGGAGGGACCACAGGGATGATGGGCGTCGAGGGAGGCGGTGGGGCGGCGGCCGGGGGCATGGGGACCGACGTGACGTTTGCAGTGATGGTTGGCACAGGGGTGGCAGCAATGACAGGCGTCTGGGAGACGGTGGGGGGGACGCTCTGAAAGGGGGCTGCTGGGGACACAGAGGACACGGCCGCCACCTGCTGCGTACCTTGAAGACAAGCAAAGCACACTGAACACACCAAGCTCTACCTGGCAGCCAGCTTCCAGAAGCTTCCTGGGCCATCCTCTGGCCAGAGCGCGCCAGTGCCAGGGAGCCCCATTTCCTGAGACCCCCGGCCCCGAGCCTTGATGCCCCCACGGAACCCGCCTCTCCAGGCTCTCCCTCCAGCCAGAGGCTAAACTCTGGACCAGGGGGTCTGCACGAGGCACAGCCTGGGAGGGAGAGCCTACGGCCTGCAACCCCAGGCAGTGACGCAGACTCCACCAAGAACCAGCTGAGCAGCCCAGGCCGAGCCCCTTAACTACCCACAGTCCCATCTGCAAAGTGGGATGGCCGGCGGCGCTGGGGACCCGTGCGGGCCAGCCCCCCCCCCCCCCCCATCAGCCTGCCCCTTCCTTCCGGGTTCCTGGGCCACGTAAGAGCCTCAGGGCTCCCAGCGCACCACCCTGCCCGACCGGGCGCACAGCCCTCTCCTGTCACCGAGAACACAATGCACACCAGGCAGGCAAGGCCCCAGGGGCCCACAGGGACCCCCTGTGCAGACCTCTGGAAGAGGTGGCCTCAGAGGACGGGGACCTGGCACAACCACAGTCCCCCCACGGCAGCAAGCCCAAAGGCAGCCTGTAATGAGGCCGCCCAGGGCCAGCGGGGCCTCAGACAGCCCCGGCTCCGCAGACAGGGACACTGGGCTCAGAGGGGCCGAGGGAGCCGCAGGAGGAAGGCTACTGTCAGTCCCCGGGGACGTCAGGTAATGTGACAGCGCCCGTGCACCCCTTTACCTGTGCTCTGGCTTCCGCCAGCTGGCTTCCGGCCTTTGCCCTTCGGAGCAGGGGGTAATAATTCAACTTCTTCCTGGGGCATCTGGGCCACTTTCTGCAGAAAAATTTTCTCTAAGGCCTGGGCCATTAGCACTATGTCATCTGTGGGCTGAAGACACAGGGAGAGCCAAGGTCACTTGTTGAGAAAGGAACCCGCGTTTGCCAAGGGCCGCGCAGGGTGCAGCTCGCAGAAACGCGGACGAGAACCTGTTAGGAGATCTGCAGGGGTGGGAGGCGGCCAAGGCCCAGGGGGTGCGCTCCGTGTGGAGACGAGAAGGGTGACCACCTTCTCGTGGAGGAAACACCACCTTCTACCCGGGTCAACTTGATTCGCCTCTGCGTTATCACGTCGCTGTTGCAAACGGCAAACCCCCTACAAACATAGGGTCATGTGGACCCTCCCTCATCTACTCTCCCCGCTAGAAACCGCTTGTGGACGCGTTCCCCTGACAGGCGGGGTCCCCGCTGTTCTGGGCGCTGCGCGTGGGAGAGGGGAGAGCGCAGCTGGCCGCCCTGGCGGCTGCGCGCGCCCGAGCCTGCGCTGACCCCCACATCACTATGGGGGGGGGTCTAGGTCTGAGGGCACAGACTGTTTAAAGCGTTTGGTCCCTGAGCTCCCTCTGAAGTTTTTACCCCTGGGGGGCGGGGGCAGCGTGTGGGACCAGCTGGCTTGCAGGGGCGTCTTGGGGCCGCTCGCACCCTTACCTTGTTATAAATGTAACAGTTTGTGAACATGGTGTTGAAGTCCTGCATACACTCGCTCGCGCTCCAGTAATAGCTGTTTTCTAGCCTCTTCTTGATAGTCCCCATGTCCATCGGGTTCTTTATTATCTTATGATAATCCTACGAGAGAGATTTTTGGAGAGGTCATCAGCGCCCACCACGCAGTCACTTCTGCCGTTCCCAAGGACACTGACCGCACACCATGTGGTCTTCGCGGGTGAGCCAGGTGCCGGGCCCGGCAGAGGCAGGGTGTGGGGCAAGTGCCCAGGCAGCCGCAAACCCCGCCACACGCCTCCCGCCTGACAGCCTCTGCCCGCACGGGAGTTCTTAGAGACGCAGGCCCCAGAGCCAGTCGTGCTGGAGACGGGGCCGGGCCCCCTCCCGGATTCCAAACCCAGGGTCCGCGGGAGGCCAGTGAAAGGCTGGGCTGGGAATCCAGGCCGCCAGCTCCTGACACAGGGCTTTGCTTAAAACACTCAGGGATTCTCTACTCGGGTCCAGATAAGGAACCCAGCAGACGGCCAGGCCTGCACCGCGGCTGTGCTGGGGCAGCACCCCCAGAACGTGACCTCAAGGGGCAGGTGCCGCGCTCTCCAGGGTGCACGGGAACAGAAGGCAGCCTCAGGTGAGTCCTGGCTCCTGCTCCCTCCCCCTCCCAACCCATAAGGAGCCCCTCTGCTCCTTGGTCACCATGGGCCCCAGGGCTGTGCTTGGCTTCCCAGCACCACTAACCAGCGCCTTGGTGGTGCCTGGGCCCAAGGGGTGGCCCGTCCGGGAATGGGGCCGCGGGGTGTGTGTGCAGGGATGACCCCGGGGAGGAGGGGTACTCACGGGCAGGTTCAGCTTGATTGCGTCCACGGGCTGGTAGAAGGGCCAGGCGAACTGGTGTTTCCAGAGCGTCTTCACCACCACATTCTGCATGTACTGCAGCTGGTTGGTCTTGCGGCCCGGCTTGGTGGGGTTGGAGACCTCCGGAGGGGGCGGGTTCACGGGGCCCGGGGCCGCTGGGATCCCCGTGGGGGCGACCGTCGTGCTGGTGGACATCCTCTGCTGTCGCTCACTGGCCGTCACAGCAGCGGCTCGGGGACGCCCTGGCTTCCACTATGCTCCTTTCGGCGGCCTGACATCCCATTTCTGGGCCCAACCGGGCAGCACCTACGGGGGAGGAGGCATAGCAGAGGTGGGCCGGTCACCCAGGCCCCACCACCCCTCCCAGCCCTGTGGACCCCCCGAGCGATCGCAACGAGGCCGAGTTGTCTGGCTCGCGCCACTCGCCCTGCTCAAAGTAGCCCTCACCTGTCACCAAACCGCTCTGCCTACTGCTCTCAGGCTGGCGCAGGGAGGGAACGCGAACATAGGCCACCCGGGCAGGTGGGCGACACAAGAGCGGGAAGGTGGCTGCCTGGGCACACGGCCAGTGGTGGCAGACGGGGGCCCCTGAACGTGGCTGCTCCTGGCGCACACGCTGCACACCCACTGCCTGCCTGCTGGGGGCCGACTCTGGCTGTGCCCAGCCGTGGCAGCTTTGGGGGAATGATTCACACGTAGAGAGCACTACAGCATTGACCCTGCCGAGCCGGGCAGGCAGGCCGCTCACGGATCCACGTGCCGCGCGCGGAGCTGGGCCCCCTGGCAGCGGGGTTCTGATGTAACCACGAGAACGGGCGCTGGTTTGTGATGGCGGCTGGGGTGTGACACGCCCGGCCCCAGGCCAATGGGGAGGGCAGGCAAGGGCATGTCCCCCCCACCTCCCCGCTCTCTCAGTAACTGCGGGGCTGCTGTGGACCGAACCCCGCCAACCCCCCTCCACGTCAGCTTTTAGAAACGCTCTCCAAGCCCACAGCCCACAACACACAGGCAGGTCCTGACACCAAAGCCCTAACTTATCCTGGGTGGCAGCCAGCAGCCCTGATTTTACTCGCGGGGCACGGAGTGGACTGCAGAGCGCGTGTGGAATGTGAGCACCGGGCCACATTTCTGGCCCTGCTACACTTCAGGTTTCCGCGTGTCCAGTCCCATCACAATATTCACACAGGTTGGGGCTGAGCGGCACTGCCCTCCGTGTGAGGCGCCAGACAGCACCGGGGGCAGCCCACATCGGTGACTGCGACCCGCCCTTGCAAGCGGATGGCTAAAACTTGGGGAGCTCTTTGGGGGCGCCTGGGTGGCTTAGTCGGTTAAGCGTCTGCCTTTCGCTTAGGTCATGATCTCGCGGTTCGTAGGTTCGGGCCCCGCGTCGGGCTCTGTGCTGACTGCCAGCTCAGAGCCTGGAGCCTGTTTCAGTCTGTGACTTCCTCTCTCTCTGACCCTCCCCTGCTCACGCTGTCTCTCTCTCTCTCTCCTAGAAATAAATAAAAACCTTAAAAAAAAAAAATTAAAAAAAAAAAACAAAAACTTGGGGAGCTCTGTGAGCTGGCGAGCACCCCAGGGGTGCCTGCTACCTGCCACGTGGGCATGTCTACACCAAAGTAACGGGCACCTGCCACAAACCACTCCAGCCAAACTGAGCATGGTTCAGAGACAACAGGGGCACCTCTGATGCACCAAGCAGAGCTGCGGCACATTCGAGGGACACCCTAGAACCACCACCCCGAGGCCTGTCTCCCCGGGGAGCCCACAGCCCCACCCCCTCTTCCATGCACACCTGCAGGGAGCTGGCGCCTCTCCCTCTTCCCCGGGTCGCCGGACAGTCGGCACAGGGTCCGCGGGCCCCGCCGGCAGCTCAGAGGGGAGAGTGGCCGTGCCAGCTCGTGCTGATGGCTATGAGGGTGGGTCTTCACCACCAGAGAGGCGTGGGAGCCCAGTGCAAACCTGGGTCATGCTCACACCCCACTGCCCCACCCCCACTCCTGGCAGGTCAGCCCACACTTGGTCAGAGCACCATGGCCACCTTCTGGGATCTCTGTGAACCCCACCCCCACCCCCTCCCCCGCCGCCTGCCCTCCCTGCATCTGGCAGGGGTGTGGGTGGCAGGCACCTAGCACTGTTGCTGCCGCCGCCACTTGGCCCTAGAAGCCAGGGAACAGGTAGGCTGCAGCCAGGGGTTAAAAATCGATCTGGGTGGGGACACAGGCTGACCTCTCCCACCCAGGTGGAGGAGAGACAGGCACTGCTGATGCAGGGACATGCTCAGGCGGCCACCAGGACTTGAGAAATGCCCCAAGGCCTCCCCCCTCCCTCCCCCGACCACTGCTGCTCCAAACCCGTGGCCAGCGTTGTCCACTAACACGGGAACAAGTCCCCCAACCCTGCCTTGAGGTGAGCACCCAGGACAGACGGACAGCCGCCAGGACCTGAGCCAGGCACCTCCAGGGGAGCCCAGACAACACTGCGGAAGCTCTGAGCACGGTGCTGGGCGCCGGCACGCGCTCGCTGCATGTCCACGGTCACTACTGGCCACAGGAGGACCCACACAGTGGCCCAAGGTGAAGCCTGCCTCCGCCTCCACCTCCACTCTGCGGCCCTGGGACATGTGCAGAAAGGGCCGGCGCTGTCCAGCACACGATGCCCCACTATCCGCAGGGACTGCACAGCAATGGGCCCTCCCCCTTCCTGCAAACAGACCCCTGCAAATACCCAAGGGTGACAGCGGGGCTGTGGCATCCTGTCTGGTGGTGAGGGTGACAGCCAGCGCCCAGCCGTCTGCTTCTCACACCTCTTGGAGCCTGTCCTCCGTCCCCAGCACCAGCTCAACAGGGACGACGGAAGGGCAGGCAGAGCCTAAGAGGCTGGGGGTCCCCCACCAGCCCTTCCAGGAGCCAGGACCCACCTCTCTGGAGGAGACCAGCAAGGGGACAGTCAGAGAGCCTGGGCCAGACACCCCTAGAGCCTGGCGCCTGGGAGCTGTCATGGAGGGAGGGGGACTCGGGGAGAGGCTCTCTGGTCATAAAACCACACAGGCACCAGGGCACCTGGGGGGTCTCAGTCGGTTGAGCGTCCGCCTTCAGCTCAGGTCATGATCTCACAGTTCGTGGGTTCGAGCCCTGTGTCGGGCTCTGTGCTGACAGCTCAGAGCCTGGAGCCTGTTTCAGATTCCGTGTCTCTCTGACCCTCCCCTGCTCACGTTGTCGGTCTCTCTCAGAAATAAATAAAAACATTAAAAATAAAAAAAAACCACACAGGCACCGGGGCGGGCAGCATCAAGTGGCCGCACCCCTGTAGGAGCATGCACACCGTCACCCCTGCAGACGGAGCCAAGGCCTCGGGGTCGGTCACCTCTGCTCAAAGCACAGGTGGACGGCAGGCCAAGGTGAGCAGAGCCGCAGGGGAAGCCTGGCCTGGCCCTGCCCCTGGACACTTCTCCGGGCTGGGTGGTGGCTCCACAAACACTGAGGAGGATGAAGGAGGCCACAGGCCATCGTGGGAAGCCCCGACCGGGAGGTGGATGATGGCCCAGGGCCTGCACACCAGCCCGCTAGGACGGGGGGCTCACCCTCCGATCACATTCCTCAACAGGCATGCTGTGTTTAGGACACGTTTCTTTTGCAAAGGAAGAATGCGAAAGAATTTCCATTTTGGAAAACTGCTCAAGCACAAGCCAACCACAATCCCGCACTAGGCTCACGGCCAAGCGTTCGGAGCTCCTATACGAGGCCTGGGGCCACGGACCTGGGGCCACAGGAAGGGCCGCATAGCCCAGCGAGCTCCTCAGGGGGGAAGGCCACCTCGATCCTAAAGGATGGAGTCGCGCTCAGCAGCTCTGCCGCCCCTGGGGTCCCGATGGCCACAGCCGGGTTGTCCAGACCCAGCCCACCTGTCGGGGCAAAGCGCAGGGACAAGGCGGGAACCACAGGTGTGCCACACACGGCTTCTGCCACCCGGCCCGGAGGCACGTGGAGCCGGCACACTATCCATCAGTCTCCTGGGTGGGGTCAGGGCTGCATTCTGAGACCAGGAATGAAAGTATAACTTGGGGCGCCTGGACGGGCTCAGTTGGTTGTGCATCCGACTACGGCTCAGGTCACGATCTCACGGTTCGTGGGTTCAAGCCCCACATCGGGCTCTGTGCTGACAGCTCAGAGCCTGGAGCCTGCTTCCGATTCTGTGTGTCCCTCTCTCTGCCCCTCCCCTGCTCTCTCTCGCACTCTCTGTCTCTCTAAAAGAAATAAACACTAAAAAAACAAAACTTAAACAGACCACTGCCCTCCTGGGCGAGGCCGGCAGCGGCAGACCCGGAGAACACGGCAAGAAAGGTACTGAGGGTCAGCCCGGCCATGAGCCCTTCGCCTCTGCTGGTGCCAAGACGCCAGGTGACCTATGAGGTCCAAGTGAGTGTGCGCAGCCACAGAAGGCAAGGCCGAGGCCCCCTGCCCTCGGTGTCTTTGCCGAGCTGACCCACGTGGGCCTTCGGGGGACGGGACTCAAGCAGCTGAAGAACGAGGTGGCCCGGCTGTCACCACTCCATCAAGGGCACCGGGTAAGGAGGGCCTCGCAGAGGGTCTCCCACACCAGGGTTCTGAACTCGGCTCCCCTCACTGGCGGACCTCCAGCCCCCCACCGAGTGCTCCCAACCCAGCCCCGCGGACAGAGACACGGGTGCCACAGCTTCCCACCCGCGGGGATGTGGGGACCAGTGACATCCTGGCCCATGGCTACGGAGCTGGGTGACTCTGGCATGTCGGGCTGGAACAGAGGGAGGTGTGCTGGCTACCACGTCACCCGGGGAGGGGGACACGGCACAGCAGAGGGCCGGGGACTGGAGTCTGAGGGTCTCTGGACACCCATTCCCAGGTGCTGTGTGGACACGCTGAGGTCACACATGGGACACGCACTGAAAACACGTCTACCTAACACAAATGCAGCCCTGTACCGGCCTCCGTGTCCCGGCGGACCAGGCCCAGCCCCTCAGCACCCTCCCAACTCCACGTTATAACCACGAGCCACCCAGCTAGCCACGTACCCAGAAGCATCACGTCTGGCAGCGGAGCGGGAAGGCTCTTGCAGCACCCACTGCACTCCCCCGAGCAGCCCTCCAGGTGCGCGCCAGCCCCTCTCCGCAGGCCTGGGCTCCGTGCAGGAACACGGACACCCCAGCCCTGCCCCCTCGGCCATGCCAGGTGGGGAGAAATGGCCGGGCAGAAGCCCGTCCAGCTACACTGGCCGCTGACAGAAGAGAGAAAACTCCCAGGGGGGCCGGCTTGGCCTGTCCTGCATCT